CATCACTCTCATTTCTTTTTTTTTTTTTTTTTTTTTTTTTTGTCTTTTTCATTTTTAGTACCAGGGATCGACCTCACTATTGCCTGCTTGCAAGACAGGCACTTATGCCGCTGAGCTAAATCCCCAGCCCTCACCCTCATTTCTTAAGGACACCATTGGATGTAGGGCCCACCCTAATCTAATATGACCTTCTGAGTAGATTGCAAAGACTGTTTCCAAACTCGACCCCATTTGCTAGGGGCTGAGACTCCAACATAACTGTGTGAGGGACATAATTTAACACACACCTCGTATCATAGGATGCAGATTTAACACTAAAATTTTGGTTGACCCAAGGGGGTAATGAACTTATGATTTGTAGAAGAATTTGTAATGTTCCATAATGTAAAAAATTTCAGAAAAAGACTATAGAAAGATTACATAAAGCAGAAGACTATGACCTTCCAGAGCCCTATAGTACTAAGTTTAACTTTGCTCTTTCCTATAGCTTCCCTGCAGATAGATAATGAAATAATTCTGAAGTCCAGTTTTGTAAAAGAAAACCTGGGAATGGTGGCAGTTTATTCACCAGCAAACCCCAGATGTAAGTTTTATCTGCAGTTGGGTTCTGAATCTGTCCCACAGCTTTGGCCTGAGTCTAGTTTCATGCTGTACAGCAGAGAGCTGGCCTGATCTGAAGGATGAGTGGGATGGCTCCATGAAGAGGAGCCAACGACCTCCTGGGAAAGATTCTAAGTGAGCAGGAAGCAAGGCAGACAAGATTAGAACAGTAATCATCGCTGGATGGTAGAATCGTTTATTTCTCTTAGATTTGACCCCAGTCCAACTATCCATCGACTCACTGACAGGGGGAGAAGGGTTTAAAAAGAACAAGCAGTTTTCACTGAATCTCTTGAAACACTGGCGCTTCCTCAGCCCTGTTTTTGTACTAGTGTGACTCAGTGGAACAAAAAGCAGCGCAGATTGCATATGGAGGATTCCCATGGACACAGAGCCAGTCTGGGTTCTCAGCCATGCTTTGACATGGACCGTGATGGTGATGGGGGCACTCTGGGCGCTAGCAGTAGAGGTGATGACTGGCAGTCAGAGCTCAGTAGGGGCAGACTCGGCAGCATTGAGCAGTGGTCCTGGTGCCCATGAGAGATGGTGGTGTCCGGAAAACAGGGGAGCTTAGGCTGGAGACGCAATGCTTGGTGGGATGTGGCCAAACTGTGGGCCTCAGAGCACAGCTGGCCTCGCGGATCTTCCCAGGCAGGGGATATCCCCACAGGGCCCAGGGAGAGACTATGGAACGGGTGACATCATGGGATAAATGGGACTCCATGCACACATAAGAAATCTCTGGGGTTGTCCAGAAAACAACGATTTAGTGTAACTTTGAATTTTACAAATATAAAGTTGAAAATCAAAGAGACAATGTTGTATTTGTGTGGAGAAAGAAACAGGACTTCTTAGCACTGATTTTTCCCTCGTGGAATTACTCTTGCTCTAGCTAGATCGATACCCACAGCTGTTGTGTGGCACATCCATGACAATATTTTGCATCTCTGGGTGAGGGCCTTTGTCTTAGGTGTTCTGTTTCCTTTCTGTCTTCCTGGAGTCCTTCATCACAATAGCAAGAAATACTGGGGTTTTGTTGTCATCCTCTGTTTTTCATCCTCTGAGAAGTTTTAATACTGTTAAAAGAATCCAGCAGTATCCATTCTCGTGGCATCTGGTCATCCGCAGACTGCTGAGCTACAAGGCCAGTGCTTCTGAGTCCCAACCCAAAGAGTTACATGCAGATACAGACTTCAGGATGTTTGGGGCAAAGTTCATTGCTTACAACTTTTTTGTTTCTTCAGTCCTTCCTGACTGCCTGCGTAGCTGACCATCAAAGGACATCAGAAAGGCTTGACAGGACCTTGCTAATCACTAATGCTATGGAACTCTGCTTGGAATAAATTCTACCTCACTAGCTAAGTCATTCTCTAAGGGTGCAGTGTATGCTCAAAATCACTGTCCCTCACAGGAAGCATAGTGGGAACTGCTGAGCTAGGAGAACTGAGTTCAAGTCCCAGCTCTGATGATTGCACCTGGACTCAGGAAATGACAATGATGGCCACCAGGCAGCAGGACAGTCAAGGCTGGTGTCTGCTCAGTAGAGCCTTCTGGAAGGATGTAGAACACTTCCTCTTTTCATGAGGATTGCTTCCTCCCTCTGTGAAGAATGGTGATTTTCAGGCAGAGGCATGCCATGGATCCTTTTGGTCAAGCTTTGCACACAAGTCTTCGGAGTCGTGAGCCCTGGTCTTTTCTTGGACAGAGCCCTCTCTGCATGGGAATCGGGCTTGGCTGTGCACCAGCAGTGTGAGCTATGCAGCTACTCCTTTGTTCTGACCTCACCTGGGGAAAGGCATGGCTTGGCAGAGCTCTTGGTGTCTCGGTCTCCTGCCCGAGGGAGAAATAGCTGGCCTTCATTTATGCCTCAGTGCATTTGACTAGCGGGATGCATCTTATTCACCAAGATGGAAGTTTATGCTTGGGCTTTCTCTTGGGTGAGGCCACTTTGCTCTCATTTGTGGAAAGCTACCCTCCTCCAACACTGATATTTCCTGGCTGGAGTGAGACATTTTAGTCCAAGAAGGGCTGCTGGTGTAATGCAATGATTCTACTTGAGAAATTTCTTCTTCAAACAAGAGTTTTCCTCTTTCGGTTGATTTTTGTTGTTGTTGTTGATTTTCCTTTGGTGAAGGAGCAATACAGATTTTATGTAGCCTGGCTCGGTCTCCATCAGTGTCGGGAGAGCCAGGTTAGGGCTCTGTGGAGCTCCAATGGCATTAATTGATTGACAAACTCGAAAAGAGACAAGGTGAGTGAGTCACACACACAGCAGTCCCTACTAATTCCCAATTTTTCAAAAATGTCATCATCATCCCCTAAGGGATCTTTTGACCATGTTTCCCCCCATAAAACAAAAGACCCACAGATAAACTGTATACTTGTGCAAGCACCACATCTCTATCTGTACTTTATATATAAAACAGTAGAATTCCAGCTGCCCCTTCTACTAAACCAAGGTTTCCCCCTTGACTGGTAAGCGTCACTTGCTGGCTGAAGCCTGCCTCATGCTTTGTGTCCACAGTTTGCTGTGGTATGACCAACTGGGAACACTCGTGTACAGCTGGAGAAACTGAGTCACCCATGCTTTCCTGGGGAATTCTGCTTCTAGGGTTATCCATCACTCCATGAACAATTATGAAGGGACACGGAGAGTAACTTTTTCAAACATTACAGTTGTTTTTCTCAGGAAACACAGTTGAATCACTCATGCTCACAATTTCCTCCCATCTTGTGAGCTAAAGTTTGCTGAGATTTGGCAAAAAAGCGGGACAAACTTCTCACGTGTATTCCCTTCTTTAGTTCCACAATTATACTCCTATGACAGCCCAGTCACTGCTGCTGGCTGCTTTCCTTGCTGGGGACCCACACTCCCCAGGCCACTGCCCTGGGGGACTGAGGAGGTTGCAGGAGTGGGCTGTGATTGCTGGTGGCTGGTGCTTGGCCTTGGAGTCCGGTGAGAGCATGGGACCTGGGGACTGGAAAGGGTGTGGCCCCACAGGTGGCGTGGCTACTCAACTTAGGTAGTTTTATTGTCCCTGGGAAATCTGTTTGCCACTTTCACTTGCCACTGTGCTGAAGAGAAGATGGAATCTAAATCTTTATGTGATTATTAAATATTCATCTATCACGTTTGGGCCAAATACAGCAGGTTAGGTGCTGGGTTGGGCCTTTGCATACCCGCCTTTGGCCACTGTTCAGATACTCCTTCACCCCAAACTCTGCTCCCCCCTGCACTGTTTCGCCCCTTCCATCATGCTGTCTCCTCGTTAAATGCTTGCGTAACTCCCCCTGCCTACCAGGTCACTGTGCTCCCCGCAGCTGAGCATTGAAGCCACCTGCTGCTTCATGTAAAGTTGGTCCTTTGCTTATCTGAAAGTGTGTTTCACTTTTCTTTGCTTTGCAGTTTTCTGCCTCTGTGCTTTTACTTAGTGTGAAGTGAAACATTTGAACACTGGCCAGTGTTTCTTCTGCCTGAACCCTTCATGCTTAAATCCTCCAGCTTTTCCAGGGCCCACTTAGATGCCTCCCTCCTTCCCAAGCAGTGTCCGCCCCCTGCATCTGGTAGGAAGTGAGTCTTTCTCCGGACTCTACCGGCTTATGATTGGGAGGAAGATCTGGGGACACAGGTCTGAGTTAGTGCCTCATCCATCATATTCACCCTAGCTGAGAGGGAGCAATCCAGTCACCTCCCTTTGCTTTTCACCTCCAGTTTTTGTCCTGGGTCACAGGGGAAGAGCATCTTAACTTACTCTTTGCCTTTGGCACTTTTTACTTTTCATGGTGAACCTTCACTGTGTAAGGGCCCCCTCTTCCCTGCTAGGACATCCCTTCTCACAGTGACCTATCATCTCGATTACCCACTGTGGCAAGTACTTCATAAATAAGTATTTTTACCTCTGCTGATGGCTGCATCCCCAGATCATTCTTCCCATGCATTCCAAAAGCTCCAGGACTATTGTCACTATGGCACTCAAAGAGGACCAGACAGACGGTGGGAAGGCAAATAAAGAGAAGGACGCACAGCGAGCTGAGAACCACCAGGCTTCTCCTGCATTTGCTTTGGCTCAGATGTGAAGCATTCAAAACATTTTCAAAGCATTGACCAGTGAAATTGTAATGCAAGTCCATAGACTTTTGTTTTAACATGCTATTACACATTTACCAGTTTGTTAAAAGCTGAAATTCCAGGAGGACTGAAGAAAGCGCGATCCCTAGATAACTGCACCTGCAAGAAGGTGCCTGCTTCTTCCTTTGCCTTTTGTGTCCAGACAGTGTGCTTAAAAGTGGCCACAAGAGGGGAGTGTGAGCCGCGGTGATCTTAGCGAGGAGCGACTGGATGAGTCAGACTCCCTCTTGGGTGGAGGAAGCCCTGCCAGGAGGGGTCAGCACATCCTGCAGACTTTCTCCAGCCGGTTGTCAGAAAATGAAAGCCAGTTTGCTCTTTCTGCATCCACAGAGAATATAACTGACAGACACTCTCCGGGCTGGAATGAGTCCTTATGGTGAAGTCTGAAACATGTTCAGTCTTTGTTCTTCAGTCACACTGTCATTATTATTATTGTTGTTGTTGTTGTTACTTTACTTCTGCATAACACCGGAACCCTGAGAAACCCACATTCCTGGGTTCTCTGGCTTTGCCCCTTTTGGAATGATTTATATTCAGCTGTGACTTGGCTGTGTTGAAGGAACGCCTTAAAAATAGCTCTTTAATGTGCACTATTGTATCTACACGAGGATGCTGTCTATAATTTCATAAAATGCTCCCTTTCTGAGGACCCACGGGAGGAATTTTACTTAAAATGCAGACTCTTTCTGTTCGCTGATGGGGCTCCCTTATTCTGCCAGTTTGCATAGCCTGTTTGTCTCTGGTGGGCACTGCTGGGTGCTGGAGCCAGGACGAGGAACACAGAGGGATTTCTGTCCCAGAGCTTCCGGTCAGTGGAGAGGACAGATGCTTATTCATCTCTCAGATGAATGTGTGGGTGACAAATGTAACTGCAAGAGACCTGAAGGACAGGGACTCGCTCTGAGAGTGTAGAGGGGGTTGTCTGTGACTGTGCTACCTAAAGGGTAAGTGACATTTGTGACCCCAGAGGGGCGGACCGCTGTGGGGAGGGAGGGGACCGCCATGCACTCTGATAACTGGAAGAGGAATTGCAGGTGAACAGGCGGCAGGGGAAGGGATGGGGCAGGCCGGAGGGGCATCGAGGCTGCGGGCCCTGTGTGTCTATCCACTTGTGGGTCTGTTTTACCCCATCATCCCTTCATGAGAAGCAAATTTGTGGAGCAAGGTGGGGAGTAAACAAAAAGTTTGTTATTTTCAGTTGCACTATGAGCAGACTCCATCTGGAATGGGATGGAACCAGGTCTGTATGCTGCTCGGCCACCAAGGCCTGCTCACACACATGGCCACCTGTCACTGCTTATGATGTCTGCTCCTGGCTGAGCCTTCCTGTGATGCTGGGAGAAGCCTCGTGATACATTTCTTCCCCGTCACATGGGACAGAGCTCTTCGTGGAGGACAGGTTTGCGTAGGAATAACAGTCCTGCCTTCTGTCTTTTGGTCCGGGGAAGCGTTTCATTTAGTAGTTCCTTCAAGAGCATCCATGAATAAACAGGCCATGTGAGTAAGGAAGCAGTGTTTGTAGTTGCTCTTTTTTTTTAAATTTCATTTTATTTAAACATAAAAAGAAAGAAAAAGAAGAAAAACTACAACAACATTTCAAAGCACGTGAATCAGGGGTAACAGCATAGTACACTGTCATTCCCAAATCATTCACCCAGAGTGCGAGATGTCTGCCTTTAATTGTCTAAACAACACCAGTGCAAACCTTTCTCTTCAGCAAACCAGAGAAATAAGTAGTGTAACTATCTTAACTATTCTTTGTATACATACACATATGCTTTTTCTTTTAGCTTCTCACACTAATGAATCAATAGGATGTCTACACATGTGTGTCTTATTTATTTCATTAATGAGTATGTTCTCAAGGTGCATCCACTTACCCATAAAACTATCCAGTTTATCATTCTTTGTGGCTGAGTAGTACTTCATTGTGGATGGGCATTTAGGTTGTTTCCAAGATCTGGCTTTTATAAACTGTGCTGCTATAGACATGGGTGCATTTATATCACTGTGGTATGATGTCTTTAATTCTTTTGGGAATGTATCTAGAAGGGAAATAGCTGGCTTCAATGGGACCTCCAATCCTAGTTTTTTGAGGACTCTCCACACTGATTTCCATAGTGGTTGCACCAGTCTGCACTCCCACCAACAATGGAGAAGGGTTCCTTTTTCCCTACAGCCCCTCCAGCATTTGTTGTTGGTTGATTTCTGGTTAATAGCCATTCTTTCTGGGGTGAGGTGGAATCTCACTGTTTTTTTAATTTTTATCTCTCAAATGACCAGTGATGTTGAATATTTTTTCATGTATTTACTTGTTGTTTGTATTTCTTCATCTGAGAAGTGTGTGTTCATCTCTGATGCCCATTTTTGGATTGGGTCTTTAAATCTGTGAGGAGTGACTTTTTTGAGTTTTTTATATGCTTTCAGTAGTAATTCTTTGTCTGGGGAACAGCTTGCAAACACTTTCTCCCACGTTGTGGGTTGTCTTTTCACTCCGTTGATGGTTTCTTGTTAATTCTTTGCAGTAGTTCCTGTGCAATCTGGGTTTTGTTCATAAAGTCTTTGCCTACACCAATGTGTTCAAAAGTTTTACTTACTTTGTCTTCCATCATTTTTATTGTTTCTGTTTTAGTATTAAGATTTGGTCCATTCTGATTTTAGCTTAGTTCATGGGTCCAGTTTTAATCTTTGGCATGTGTAGAGCCAGTTTTTCCGGCATCATTTATCAAAGGGGCTGTCTTTTTTCCAGTGAGTGTGTTTGGCACCTTTGTCAAAGATAAGGTAGCTTAGTGTATTTGCAGTTGTTTTTCCATCTTCTAGTCTGTTCCATTGATCTTTGGGTCTTTTTTTGGCCAGTAATCACAGTAGCTTTTTTTTTTTTTTTGCCAGTAATTACAGTAGCTTTATAATATAATTTCAAGTCAGGAACTGTGATACCCCCTGTCTTGTCTTTGTTGCCCAGGATTGCCTTTGCTATTGTAGCTCTCTTCTGGTTCCTGATGAATTTTTGGATTGTTTTCTCTAATTCTGTGAGATATGCTATTGGGATTTGATTGGGGTATAACAGTTTTGGGAGTATAGCCATTACAGTTGCTTTTCAGAGTCAATTTTATTTATTTAAAAAAATTTTTATTAGTACTTGTTTGCAGAACACAATGATCATGTTCACGGCGAGGAATGGTGTGTGTCCATGACCAGCTAAATTCTCTTTACGCCCCTTCCTCTCACAGGTTTGTTTTCTGAGCTGTGTGTCGGAGGCTGTGCTGGCCAGAGCCTGCAGGACACTGTAGTTACGCGGCCCTGCTCTCCGTCACTTCTGTTCCTGTACAGAGCAGAACAAAGGCTGGAATGCAGATAAAACAAGCCTGTATCACCACCTCTTCCCTTTCCCAGGGTCAGGACAAACTCTATTTCTGAGTCACTGTTCATCATAGCAACATATTTAATTTAACAGAAAAGAGGAAAAAATGCAAGAGGAAAGCCAGTTGGAGAACCTAGCTGAGATGGTAACAGATAGGATGACTTACACATTCCGCCTCAGCCGAATGGAGCTCCTTCCTGAGCCCCCAAACTCACCGGACACGTCCCTGACACAGGCCTCCTGCTGGCTGCTTGCTCTGCCTGGAGTGTTCTTTCTGTGCAGAACCATAAGTTCTACCTTCTTCTGGTTTTTGATTGAATATTGTTTTTGATTGAGGTGCACCTTGACAACGCTATTTAAGACTGGAAATTCCCTTGAACTTCTGATCCTTCTCTCCTCATCTCAGAGGTTAGCAAGCTGGCTTCTCAGTACCTGTTCTTGGAAACTAAGTTTTATTGGGACACAGATGTAGTTTTTTTTTTTTTTTTTAATGTCTTAACATGGCTTATCAGAGTCCACAGTGGCAGAGTTGGGAGATGAGATGGGCCACAAAATCTAAAATATTTCCTACCTGACCCTTTCCTGAAATTTACCAATGCTGCCCTGTTCAACTCTTCTCATTTAACTGATAATCTTTACTGTATAGACACCTATAGTCTAGATCTATTTTTCTAATATATTTTATTTGTAAAATGTTCCCGCATGGGCAGAGAGTTTTTCATTTGTCGGTCAATGGATTTCTAGAGTCAACAGTGCACAGATCTTCAGTAGCTCTTTGTGGACTGCACAGTTGATAAATGAATAAATCTAGAGTGCCACAAGTCTAGAAGGTATGACCTTCGTCACTATGTCAGGGTAGCCAGCACTTTCCAAACAGGGAAGCTGCATAAGACATCAGCTGTATTCTCCCCAAAGAGTGGGACGCTGTGACAGCGCCATCTCTGAAAAAGTGCTCTGAGCTTTATATACCTGCTTACCTTTCCCAGACACCTACACAGTCCCCAAATAAACGCGAGAAGAAAAGGCTTGTTTACAAAAGTAAACATCTTCTGTAGCTCTAAAACATTGGCTGTTGTCAGGGAAGTGCTGTTTTCCTGTTCAGACAGAGAATGCCTATTTTTACACTGCAGCCAGACAAGACTTAATTATCGAGGGCTTTTAACCTAGGTCTTTATTTCCCCTAAAAGAAGAGAGGAAGGACCAGCTCACCTTTTGATCAAGGAAATAAAAGGTTCAGCTTTACAGTTCCCTGCAGCCAGCGAGGAGTGGTTTATATGGGTCCTGCTTCCCCATCACATTGACAGACCCCGATTTCCATAAAATGGTCTCAGATCAGTGTGAAACATGGAAAAACGTTATGCACGGAGAGGGTCTAATGGGTATTCTGAAGCTTATTTTTATTTCTATTCAGTTTCTGATTGCCACTTAGTTTTGGTTTTCAAGAGCACAGGTGTGTCAGCACAGGTGCGGTTTTGGGTCGGTTTGGAGGTCGAGCAGGAGCTAAGAGTTATGGTCACACAGCGGGGCTTCCCTGGACTGCTGGTCTCCCTGAGGGTATCTGGCATTGGACAGAGTCTGGGGACACTTTAGCTGTGGCTAAAGGTGTTGTTAGGATTTTACTGGGTAGAAGCCAGGGGTGCTATTGCGGGGTGCCCAGGATGAACCCCCTCACCCCAACTCCACTAAAGACCTCGGGTTTCAGGAAGGCAGCTGTGCTGGGGTTGAGGATGCTGCCCCACACACTGTCTTCCTTCCTACGATGCTTGCTTGCTGCTTGGTAACGTCAGCATGTGCACCACAGAGGCTCTCATAGGCCCTGGTGGGTCTCCTTCAGTGGGTGGGGACAGTGCCCAGGAGCCACTTGGGCATAATCAGACGTAAGGAAGGGTTCTGTTAGTATTTATCAGAGAGAACTGTGCCTCTCCACCTGCACTGCTCATTTCCTCGAGACTGATGTTATTCGAAGTTTAAAGAACTTAAGGAAGCCTAGATGCTCCATGCTGGCTCTTCCCTTGAGGGTCTATAGAGGTCACTCTGGAATTCAGAGCTGATCCCTGGCTCTCCTCAGGGATCATCTTATTGCAGAATATTCCTGCTCTCTCTGTGCTTGTCCCCGGCTTTCTTGGCTTCTTCCTTTTCTTGAGGGTGTTTCTGTTCCATTTTCCCATTTCTTTCCCACTAATTCCCCAGATGCGTCATGCCATCAGCGCTCTTTGAGCTTCAAGCACTCTCTTGCAGTCTCACACTTTGCCTGAAAACTTCTCAGCAAATTTTATAAACACATAGAATGTCCTTTACAGGTAAAATCGGTGAATAAAATGTTCTGTCTTTATGTAAATATTTTCATTTGAATATTTAATAATTTTATTTCATCTAGTCCCTCTTAATTAATGGCTAAATCGTAATTCACACACATGAAATCACTTAACTATGAATTGAGGTCTGAAAAAATAGTTTTGTGACTTTAACCTAGATTGCCAATGCCTTAGACACCTAAATATCCAAAGGTTTGCTGGAGTAAACTGTGCTTGTTTGTGTTTCAGGTCATAGAGGTATTGGGTCCCTGGAGACATAACGCTGCAT